GACGTTCAACTCTCCCCAACCACGCCGAGCCCCACAGACGGGCCAGATAGCCATGCACCCACACACAGCACTTCCGTGAAGAGCACTACCCCGCTGAGCGCCCCGACTACAGACATTCTTCCCCCAAGTACTCTCCCTGGGGGAATGCACAGCTCCACCACTACGCTCAGCACTCAAGTCAGTGATGGGAGTGTAGCCACAGGTTTTACCAGTTCTCCTGCAGGTGCAACACCCATCCCTCCCTCACAGGCCACTACCACCATCAACATTGCGACTTCAACCACGCCATCCGCGAGCACTCTCTCCAGCGAGACACACAGCCCCACAACTGCACACAGCCCCCCAGCAGATACAAACAGTACAGTAGGCGATCCGACTTCAAACACAGCATCTACAAGTACTGCCTCGCCTGAAGTTCAAGTCTCCCCAACCACGCCGAGCCCCACAGACGGGCCAGATAGCCATGCACCCACACACAGCACTTCCGTGAAGAGCACTACCCCGCTCAACGCCCGAACTACAGACATGCTTCCCCCAAGTACTCTCCCTGGGGGAATGCACAGCTCCACCACTACGCTCAGCACTCAAGTCAGTGATGGGAGTGTAGCCACAGGTTTTACCACTTCTCCTGCAGGTGCAACACCCAGCCATCCCTCACAGGCCACTACCACCGTCAACATTGCCACTTCAACCACGCCATCCACGAGCACTCTCTCCAGCGAGACACACAGCTCCACAACTGCACACAGCCCCCCAGCAGATACAAACAGTACAGTAGGCAGTCAGACTTCGAACACAGCATCTCCAAGTACTGCCTTGCCTGAAATACAAGTCTCCCCAACGACGCCGAGCCCCACAGACGGGCCAGACACCCATGCACCCACACACAGCACTTCCGTGAACAGCACTACCCCGCTGACCACCCCGACCATAGACATGGTTCCCCCAAGTACTCTCCCTGGGGGAACGCACAGCTCCACCACTACGCTCAGCACTCAAGTCAGTGATGGGAGTGTAGCCACCGGTTTTACAACTTCTCCGGCGGGTTCAACACCCAGCCCTCCCTCACAGGCCACTAGCACCATCAACATTGCCACTTCAACCACACGGTCCATTAGCACTCTCTCCAGCGAGACACGCAGCCCCACAACAGCACACAGCCCCCCAGCAGATACAAACAGTACAGTAGGCAGTCTGACGTCGAACAAAGCATCTGCAAGTACTGCCTTGCCTGAAGTACAAGTCTCCCAAACCACGCCGAGCCCCACAGACGGGCCAGACACCCATGCACCCACACACAGCACTTCCGTGAACAGCACTACCCCGCTGAGCGCCCCGACTATAGACATGCTTCCCCAAAGTACTCTCCCTGGGGGAACGCACAGCTTCACCACTGCACTCAGCACTCAGGTCACCGATAGGACTG